CATTTGTGATTTATTTATTTGAAAGTGTTAACAGGGGAGGGAGGGAGAGGGAAAGACAGTGAGACTTCCGTCCACTGATTCCCTCACCAAATGAAAGTCACAAAAGTTTTCATTGTTCAAAGGTTTGAAAGGAGACCAGGGCTGTTTTGGGGTCTTTCGTGTAATGTAGGTGCTGCTTTCTCAGGCATGGTAGCAAGCAGTGGATCAGAACTTGAGCTGCTGGGTCTCAAACTGGCACACGTGGGGGATTCCAGCGTAACAGGCAGCTGCTTTACTTACTATACCACCACTACCACCATGCTGACCCCATCTGTCTCTCTTAGGTTTAGTTATTCATTTGAAAAGCAGAGTTACAGAGACAGAGAGGGAGAGAAAGAGTCAGATGATCTTGCATTTGCTGGTTCGTTTGCAAGTGGCTAGAATGGCCAAGCTGAGCTGGGTGCAAGTCAGGAGTCAGGAGTTTCCTTGGGTCTCTCACATGGGTGTAGGGGCGCAAATACTTGGGCTGCCTGCTGTTGCTTTGCCGAATACTATATGACAGAAACTGGAAAGGGGACTAAAAGTGCAGATCCTGCTGTAACAAGTTAAGCTTTGTTAGGTAGTTATGGGCAAATGGATGGGTTGACAGATGGAACTCAGGATTTCTAGTCAAGTGATTAACGTTGACTGACACTTTGATATTTTCACAAGGATTTTGAAATGCACCCCACCTTAATACTTACTACTTTATGAAGCCATTGTGTTTCCAGGACACACTGTACGCTACTGGTTCAGGCATCTTTAAAATGATCCGTTGGTTATTTTCATGAACAGTTTGCAAAATACGGTATCAAATAAATGTTTCTCTGAACCTAACAGTGGCTGTGTTTCATCTCTCCCACTCAGAATAATTGTGAGTGTTCCCTTAAGGACGTCTTTTGTGTCTCTTCTCACGGGTAAAGCACTGTTCCTGAACGGGAGAGCTCACTGGTTTTGCCTTTTCTGAGAAGGTGTGTGTTACCCTGTGTTTGTTTCCATCATGATCTTGCTTTGCAGTGTAGAATCTAGGAGCAAGCCAGACCAGTTCTCTCACAAGTTTTCCAATTCACTTTCTTTTCTAGATATGATTCTAGAGCACTGTGTATGTATTTAAGAACCAAGAAAATGACTACCTCTCCAGTAAGTTCTCTATGTTTTTATTGCTCGGTGTATTGTATATTGTGCTTTTAGACCTTCATGAGGATTGTATAATTTTAAAAAAAAGTGAAAGTAAATACAATTTGGTGAGAGAAACTATGTAAAGGAGATCTTTTAATGTTTGGAATCTGCTAGAGTCGTCTCAGCTGTTTCTAAATTGATCTCTGTTTATTCTGATGTCATGCCAGAAACGCAGACATATTTGCTACATAATTCAAGCGAAAAGTTAGCAAAATTCACCAAATATTATGGGACATAGAGTCTAAGGACATGGTGAGAAGGCCTAAGGTCTAGCCTGACTTATTTTGGCGCACTTGATGCTAAAGTTGGGTTTATTTCCCCTATGAGACCTGTATAATGCACTAAGCTGACGATGAGTTCACTCCCAGCTCAGCATATGTGCAGATTACTGTTGTCTGTTGTTTCCAAAGCCTTTGCCACACTGCGCAAATGACACCTAATGTGCCACTGGTGTAGCCCTGGTGATTAGGTCTGTGGGCTGCCCAGACTCATCTCGGGTGGATCCTGTAGGATGCAATATTGGTGCAATGCACTGAGCTAGAAATGAGGATGTACAGTCCCATCCCTGTAGCCATCAACTCCTTGCACAAAGGCCCACCAGATGTGGCTGTGTTGGCAGTTCTGACTGTAAAATCCACCCTGTTCCTGCACCGACTGCTTCGTGTATACTGCTCTGTCTCTGCTCCTGCCCAAATTTAACGAATCAGGAAGATGGGCAGTTCTTTGGGTTTACCTGCTGAGCTCCAGGTGAAAACCCTTCCCACATGGCTGCTGGTGCAGCTCCTGCCATTGGTGGAGCTCAGTTTTCTGCTCGCTGACTGCCACTGGGGTATCTGGTCACTGCAATGTGACACCATTGTCTCTGCTGCTTTGCTGTGTGCATTAGTCTCCAGGTGCCTCTGCTGTTGGCCTGTCCCCTTCTATTTCCTGGAATGTACTCTGCTTCCTCGAGACTAATGATTCTCCCTGTGTTTAACCATGCACAGACCATCTTCTGTAATATTCATTCTCCGGTTGCACTGTTTTTAAATGGATTATCTGCACTATGTTTTTTTGGACTTTTACCATTTGACCTATTTTGCATCATATTCATGAGAACACATTCAGGCAGAAGAATGAAATATTTTTGATATTTCAGTGAACTTCAACCTTATGAAAATGGAGTATATTTGTAGATACATACATGTATGTGATCATCTTATTCAATGTGATAATGACAGAGAGGCAATGAGAATCAGAAAATCTTCCAGTTTCATTTGTCTTAACTGGCCAGAACTGGATTAGCCTGAGTCTGGTGTCAGGAGCTTGCTTGCAGGTCTCCTACATGGATGCAGAGGCTCAAGGACTAGGACTTTTCAGCTGCTCTCCTGGGCGGTGAACAGGGGCTGGATAAAAGGTGGAGCAGCCGTGATCTATATGGGATGCTGACAGGGCAAAAGAGAATTAGCATGCTATGCCACCTCACCAGCCCCACAATATCTATTGAAAGCACGTTTCTCTTGCAAATAGTTGCAAATCAATGACAGCAATCTCATTTTTAAATTATATAATTAATATTTAGAGAACACAATACTTTCATGTGATTTTGGTTTCTGTTTCCATGTTGATTACAGAAATAGCTGCTTCCTGCGTCACAAGTAAATATAACTCACAGAAGAATATGTTCTGAGTTTTTCACTTTTGTGGCAGATGTAACATTGGGAAGAAATGTGCTCTTTTAGGTTTTAGTGTCATTTGAAGATTTGGCTGTGGACTTCACCTGGGAGGAATGGCAAAACCTGAACCCTGCCCAGAGAATCCTGTACAGAGATGTGATGCTGGAGACCTATAGCAGCCTGGTGTCCTTGGGTGAGTGTCATTCCACTGACATGCCCAACTGGATTTTCCCCCCATTTGACTACTGTAGGAGCCTGTGGCAAGTTTAACTCTGGCTGAGTCCTGTATTTGAGTTCATGAAGAATCTGAGCATCTACACACTGGGAGATAATTAATACTAGAACTTGTGTTGTCTACCTAGTAGATGAGGATTTTTTTCCCACCTCCATTAAAATCCAAGTTTGTGATTTGACAAAGTCTTATGTTATTCCTCATGAGCAGGATACCGCGTGACCAAACCTGACTTGATCGTGAAATTGGAACGAGGAGCAGAGCCATGGATAGTGGAAGAATGCCTAAACCAGAGCCTCAAAGGTCAGTCAGCACATGCTTGCTAAGCAGATAGTTCCAGAAAAAAAAATAAATGTTCACTGAAACTCTTCTCACTAATTTTTTTTCTGATGTCCTAGTGCTTGTGACATTCCGATAAGGCATGAGATCTGAAAAGCAGAGTGATAGTGAACCCTAGAGACACAGAGAGAAAATAAAGAATAAGCACTGTTTTCTATTGATTGGATCACAATCCAAATGAGTGCTTCAAGAGTTAATTCAGTCTGAAGCCAAAGGCCTATCTAGAATTGTGTTATGTTGTGGATGTATCAGTAATCACATCTCATACTGGAAGCAAAGTTACCACGACGCAAACTGGAACTATGTGGGATATAGATGTCCCAATCCCTGACCTAACATATCCATTCAGAGATATTCATTCATCAATGGTAAGCATTTCATGTACTGAACAAACATCCTGACAGTGAACATTGAGAAATACATTGGCATAATATATTGTTTGAGTTCATTTAGGAGGAAGACCACACACTTCTCAAAGGCTCAGAGGACGCTTCATTGCCTTTATGTGACAGTTCCATGGGAAGCACTTAAAGGAGCTCATGAATATGACTATGTTTTTCTCATTTCAGTTGCCCAGGAAAAAGATGACTTGATTGAGATCAACAGGGAAAGCCAAGACATAAGATGTATGATTACAGACAGCACGTTCTCTTACAATGGAGTTGACTCAAGAGAAACATTCGATTTCCATGTTCCAAAACTGATCATCAGGAAGTCAGATTGTTCTGAAATGAGTTCTGGGGCCTGCAATACATTTCACAATATGCGTCTTCGTAGGGTGCTGTGTGAGGTACAACGACCTGGAGTGAAATTAGATGCTGCTACCATGCCTGGAGGTTTTTCTCATGGCTTAAACTCTGTTGGTCAGCATCACAAGATCCAGGCTGTGCGGAAGCCATTTGAACACCATGAACAAAGGAAAACTCTCCAAAGGAAGGTGTTCTTTATATTTGAGAGGGATTGTGCGAGAAATCCCTTTCCTGAGTCAACTCTTAAAGGAAAAGATATTCAGATTGGTGCTGAAACTTTACATGAAAATTCTGTTGAGCAAACCCACCCAACAGTGAATCTCCGTGAGTCTCTCAAGTGTGAGAAAGATGTGAATTGCAAGTCCTATCTGACAGTGACTCGGACATCAGGCACAGGAACAAAATCCAATGAATGTGATTGCTGCAAAAACTGCTTCAAGTATAAATGCTTCCTAGCCATCCATCACAGAATTCACAAGGTGAAAAATGATTGTGACAAATTTCAAAACAACTACTCCTGGCTGTTAGACCCCAGAATACATCAAAGAATTCACAGAGGGGAAAAGCCTTTTGAAGGTAGTGAGTTTGGAGAAGACTTTTCCCAGAAGTCACACCCCCTAAGCCATCAGAGAACGCAGACAGAGGAGAGATCTTTTGAATGTTTTGAGTGTAGAAAAATTTTTGTTTTGAGATCTGACCCCAGAAAGACTGCGAGAATTCACACGGGGGATAAGACTTTAGAATGTGGCAATTATGGAAAAACCTTTACGTGCAAATCACGCCTCATCACACATCAGAGAACTTGCTTAGGGGAAAGACCTTGTAGAGGTAGTGAGAGTGGGAAAGCCTTTTCCTACAATCCACATCTGCTACAACATCAGAGAATGCACACAAGGGAGAAGCCTTTTAAATGTAGTGAGTGTGGGAAAGGCTTTGCCCTGAAGTCATCCCTCATGAAACATCAGAGAATGCACACAAGGGAGAAGCCTTTGGAATGCAGTGAAAATGGGAAAGCCCTTATCCACAAATCAGAGGCCATCCCTCATCAGAGAATTCACACAGGGGAGAAGCTTTTTAGATGTAGTGTCTGTGTAAAAACCTTCACCCGCAAATCACAGCTCATCAGACATAGAAGATTGCATACAGGGAAAAAGCGTTTTGAATGTAATGAGTGTGGAAAAGCATATTTGTACAAGTCACTCCTCATAGTACATCAGAGAACACACACTGGTGAGAAGCCATTTGAATGTAGTGAGTGTGGCAAAGCCTTTTACTCTAGGTCTGACCACACAAGGCATCAAAGAATTCACACAGGGGAAAAACCTTTTGAATGTAGTGAGTGTGGAAAATCCTTTTCCCACAGGTCATACCTCACAGAACATCAGAGAACACACACAGGAGAAAGACCTTTTAAATGTAGTGATTGTGGAAAGGGCTTTTCCTACAATTCATATCTGATACAGCATCAGAGAATTCACACAGGAGAGAAACCTTTTGCGTGCAGTGAGTGTGGGAAAGCCTTTTCTCGCAAATCACACGTGATACAACATCAGAGAATTCACACAGGGGAAAAGCCTTTTGAATGTAGTGAGTGTGGGAAACAATTTTCCAGTAAATCACACCTCATCAGGCATCAGAGAATGCACACAGGAGAGAAGCCTTTTGATTGTAATGGATGTGGGAAGGCCTTTCCTTGCAAATCACAGGCAATCGCTCATCAGAGAATTCACACAGGGGAGAAGCCTTTTAAATGTACTAAATGTGGGAAGGCCTTTACTCACAAATCTTACCTCAGAATGCATGAGATAACGCACCTGGGGAAAGCCTTTTGGATGTTGTGAGTGTGGAAAAGCTCTTTCCCGCAAGTCAGACCTCAGAGGACGTGGAGAACACACACGGCAGAAAATCCATTGAATAATAAGTGTGGAAAAGTCTTTACATGCAAGCCACATGCAATATATCATGGGAGAATTCACACAAGAGAAAAGCTTTTGAATGTAAAGTTTGTGGGAAAGCCTGTTTCTGCAAGTGTGAAACTTAGAAACCATCAGAACTCACAGAGGGGAAATATTTTCTGAATGTAAAGAGTGGAAAATTTTTTCCCGCAATGAGACCCCCTAAGACGTTAGAGAATTCACACGGGATGAAGCCTTGTATGTGTAGTAAGTGGAAAATCCTTTTCTCAAAAACCACATATCATATCTCATCAAAGAATTCAGGAATGGGAAAGCCTTATGAATGTGATTATAGGAATGCCTTTTCCTGCCAGTCACACTTCAATATTCATCATAGAACTCATGGGGCAGGTGGGGAAATATTTTGAAATGAGTGGGGAAATGCGTTTTCTCACAAGATGTATCTCAAGAAGATAAAAAATTCACAGTGGGACAAAATCCATCTGAATATAGTCAATGAGTGTCAAACTTTTCTTTGAAATCACACATCAGAAATTTCTCATAAGGAAGGAAGCATAAAATGTGAGAAAGAGAAGCAAATGCTGTAAAAATTGATGTCTCTAAGGAAGTCACAGTTCATGAAGTATCAGGACTCTTGCAAAGATGAAACTTTTTTATTTAATATGTTTGTAATAGCATTTTTTTCTGGCAGTCACACGTCTGAAAAAAACGGAACACTACACAGAAGGCTTTTGAAGGAAATATGCATAAGAATATTTTCCTACCATTGCAGCTCCATGGATGTAGAATTTTGTTAAAGGAGAATCTGAGTGTAATTGACATGTGAAAAATAATACATTTTTTGCAACTAAAACCTGTCATGTAGAAGTACACGAAAAATAAAAGTTTTATCAGTATAATGAATGTGAACATTTTTCTGGGTGGTTAATATAAAGAAAACCAATTTTTTAGTTCGATCAGCACAAGTTGAAGGAAAATAAAACCATAACTATTTCTCCTTTGCACTTCTCTAGGATCTTTTCCGTGTTTTGCTTCAACAGCATTTGAACATAGTTTCTTTCCACAATATTTACATATTGTATTAGTTAATAGTAATATTCAGTAAACATAAGATAAAATATTTCTACTAGACTATAAACATGAAAAAATAGCAATCTTTTCCGAATAACTGTCATTTTTACATATTCTGAATTAGCTGCTGCATATTGTTCTTGGATAGGTACGTATTTTGCTGAGCATAATGATTTTCACTTACATCCATTTTGTTTTAAGATACAATAATTCCCTTTTTGATGGTCTTTATGTAGTTGATTATGGCTCAGAGGATCAAGAGCTAGAGGAACGTGGGTAAGACCATTGTTTCCACATTCTCTTTTTTTCCTTTTGTATCTGGGACAAGTTGGGAGATAAACGGAGAAGCCCCACCCAGCCTGCCAACCATTCCAGGGTTCCTGATGTGGGGCATACTCAAAGGGCACTGCTCAAATGGTTTTGATGGTTCAACAGTTCTGAATTGCTGCCAGTTTTACCATTTGAAATATGATGCAATCTCTCCAGAATCCTTGGCTGCCATAATCCACTTTAGAGTCTCCTTTTGCCCAGGAGACTCGCTGCCAACACTTGGCTGTGGTAGTTGATCCATTTTTTCCTCTCTTCCATCCTCTGTTGTGGTACTAGGTGTCTTCTGCGGGCTTCAGTGAACTGCCATATCCTTGCTGTGCACCTGGATATGCTGTCCACTGTTCTGTCTGAACTATTGAGGAATCTCAACTCTGACACATGCACTCCACAGAGACCATGGCACTTATACTCCTTTTCATGGTTGGGGTTCTGAGATCATCAATTTAGTTTGGGAGATCCCCAAAGAAACTTCATCTGAGGTCATCTCAGACCTGATTCTTGTGTCTGCTTGCCAATAAAGGTCTTCCACAGTCCATCACCCCACTCAGCCTATTTACACGCTAGTGGTTGCAGTTGATGGGTAAGTATTGTCTCCAGCCTTGTTTTCTACATAAACCAATGTGAGTTGCAGCCCAGCTCATTCCTGCCCACCAAACACTGGACCCTCATGCAAACCACTGGGAGCTGAGGCCTAGTTGAAGCAACCCACAGTAACCCCCACCAGGGCCAACCCCCTGCCTTAGTCCCATGCTTGCCAGTATGTACAGTATACTGGTCCAGTCTGTCTCAAATCCCATTCAGCTCTCATACATGTCTGTGGGCATTGAAGCATAGTTCAGCCCAACCAGGCCCACACACATGCTGGTGGGTGCCACTCTGTCTAGCCATGCCTGCTCCAGTCCTTGTTCTCATGCTCACCATGCGAGTCGCAATCCAAGAGGGAGGAGCCCTCTGTTTCCCTACTGGACCCACTCCCACTCCCAAATCCAACATTCAGTCAGGTACTATGTTCTAGCCCTGGTAGACAGGTCCCTGGCCTAGCTTTTGCATGGACTGGTGTGTGGTAGTCAGCCATGATCCATGATAACAAGCCCTACTCAGGACACACATGTAGGCTGATGTATTCTGACAGATCATATGGTTGCTTCCCCCCCCCACCCCCAAACCTCCAGGTCTCATTCCCATTGCTTACCTGCAAGTACATTGACCCTGTCATTGGGAATCCCGTGGGATTTATTCTCACCTACGCACACCATGAACTTTTCCATGGTTGTACCTAGGCAGCAGTTCCACACCCACAAGGTCCCAGAGTTCACTGCCAGGCAGCCAGTAGGCGGAGCTTGGCGCCAGTTGGCAAGCTGACTGCCCAAAAGTTCAGGACTTGCTCACCACGTGGCATTTGTGGATGTGGCTAGGGCCCCAAGCACTGATTCCAACTTGGCTCAGGTAACCCCAGTAGCCATCACCCAAGACCTGAGGTTGAACTGCTTTTGTGTTTTATCCAAGAAGGTTTTGCCTATAATACTTCTGTTTTGCAGAATTTACCAGTGTTTCATCTAGAAACATTTCATGGCCTTATTTCATGTCTTTGGATCATTGAAAAGATTTTTATCATATCCAGATATGAAGATAAAACGCACTGTGTGTTTCTAGTTCCAAAGATAGACTCCCAGTGAAACTCTTAAATATATCTTGGCAATATCATGATGACTGTTTGTGCAGCACTACACTATTGTAATAGGGAAAACCAGTAGGGACAAGAGTGTATTTGGGAAAGGAAAGGGAAATCCCAGAACTTTTGAAACTATATCATAAAGTGACAATGAAATAATACAAAATTAAGGATATGTTTTTGCTGGAAGTTTTTTGACCCACACAGATACATGCAGCTGGACCACATGACTCCCTTGGGTAGGGGAGTTTATGGAGAGTCTTCAGGATCCCCAGCTGGGAGGCTTTCTAGCCAGTGTAGGTACACACAGCTGAGCACAGTGGCTCCCTGAGGGAAGGAACGCTCATGGGCTTCTGGGAACCACCCCGTCCTGGAAGTTTTATGACCCACATGGGTATATGCAGCTGGGCCATGTGGCTGCCTCTGGAAGGGCCTGGATGGCCTGGCAGTGCACCCTGGCGACTTGAAAGGTCTGGATTTACAGGGAGATGACAGGATTGCATAGCTCATAGTGAGTGATGACTTGTGGTTTTATGCCCAGGTTAGGAATTATAGCTTAGGGACTTGCATAGATTAGTCCATGATATGTTTATCTAAGTAGGGGGCCGATATCATATTGATTTGCAGGGAAGAACAAGTATTAGACAAGTGGATCTGATAACAGAATCTGTGGGGGAAATGTGGGCTCACCCCTGTGGACCTGCAGTCTGCTGGTTTGCCCAAGAACTAAATGGAGCTAAGGGGATGCTCCAGCTGGGATAGGGTTCCCACTAGTGAGGACAAGAGTAGGATTAGAGGCAGCAGGTGTGGCTGCACATGGCTATAGCCCCCATCGGTGTGGGTGTGCACAGGGTCTGCAGAGTGACAAATTGGACTTGACTCCAGCCTCCACTGGTACTCGTGAAAGCCTGGTTGGGTGTAGAATGGGCTGGACTAGGTCTTGACTCTCGCTGAACTATGTGAGAGTTGTGTCTGGCCATGGACCAGGTATTGCTGAGCGAACAGCAAGAACCAGAACGGGTGTCAGCTGGTTGAGCAAGGCTTGTCTTGCCAGGACAACAGGTGGACGAAGTCAGCCTGGTGAAGGATCCACTGGTGTGCACAAGAACTGCCACTGGGAGACTTGAGGGACTTGGGGACCTCCTTCATCAGGGCACCGCCCCTGCGGGTGAGTAAGCATCAAGTTAAACAGCAGCTCAGAATATGCCAGGCTACAGTACCCTCCAGCATACATGCAGGTCTTTGCACAGATCAGTCTGGACCAGTTCATAACACCCACTGGCAAATCTGAGAACCAGGAAAGGTGGTAGAAGGAAACATATTGGGCTATAACACCAGCCAGTTAACATTAAGACCAGGACAGCAACTATGCTGGGCTGGGATAGGATGGAGCACCCATCAACAGGAACTGGAACAAGGGACAGGCAAGACAGGGCCAGGCTGCACAATATGATTGTGGATGCTGAGGTGAGGTGTGTCATGCTAGCCCGGGATCAGTGGGGGCCGGGTACCTGAGAACCAGGGACAGGGTATCTGACAGGCCCAGGGTCCTTAGCTCAGGTCCTGAGGTCCACCTGCATGGTGGGGGCTAGATTCATGAGCCCTGGGGGTGAGGGATGCACTGGGACTCTGTTCACCTGGCCTGGTTCCTGGAGCCTGCCTGTGAGGTGGGTGTTGGGTTCATGAGTTGCTGGAACTGAGAGTTGGGTTGGCCAGACTAGGCTGTAACACCAGCAGGAGCTAGAATCTGGTGTAGACCAGACTGGGTCAGGTTATAGCACTGGCAGAATGCTTGTTTGGAGAGTCCAGAGAGATACACACTCCTTTTGTGCAGTCACAGTGTTATTTATGGATGGAGGGAGGGACTGTCAGGAAATGCCCTTCTGTATTCCCATTTCCTACTCTGTATAATGTGCTCACTTTATAATAAACAATCATACTACATCAGGCTATCCCTGGTGGTTCTTGCAACCAAAGAACACTGTTGCATCACCCTGTTGGTGGTCTGAGGGCCCGCTAGCAGGAAAAACCCAAGGCATGTTCTCTATTAAACTGGCATCAGCAACTGAGAATTCAGTCCTGATGAATATATTCCAGTAGCAAGCCACATAACTTGTAAATTTCTGTGTGGCCAGGGTTTGATTCCAGCCATCAAGTTTGGCATTCTCCAAAGAAATTTGTCTGGACTAGCTCCCCATCCACTGCTGCCAAGTGGGGGGACAAATCCTGCTCTTGTCCAGGCCTGAGGTCTGATCATTTCCCCTGTCCACAGAGATAAATCTGTGGGTGGATCACGGATAGATCTGGGCATACCCAGGATCATGGCTCCATCCACCGCTGCCATGTTGGTGAGCAGAGTCCTGGTATGTCTGCTCGAGGTGCAGGTGCCTGACTCTCCCAGCCAAGTGGCTGTTGCTGAGAGATCCCACAACAGAGAGCCTAATTCCCCATCTACTGCTGCCAAATGGGGGGTGAATCCTGGGCTGGTGGTGGCCAGAGCACCAATAGCGCTGGGCTTTGTGTTCTGCCTGTCCAGCAGCATGCTCTGGAGCCGTGTGGGTGTAGAATTACTGCCTAGGGACATCAGTGGATAAGGACTGTACATGTAGGTGAGAAATGAATCCTGAAGGATTCCCAATGAAGGGCCACTATCAGGTAAGCAAAGGGGCTGAGACCTGGTGGTTTGGAAGGGAGAGACTGAAGATCTGTATGGGTCAGACTCATGCAGCAGCCCACATGGGAATCTGAAGTTAGGCTTGGTAGCATGGAACATTGCTGACCACCTCACACCAATCCACATTAAAGCTAGAGCTGGGG